GTGGGACAACCATCCCCGCTTTTGGTGCTTTTACTGGGCCATACCGATGGTCGTGATCCGGTTCCGTTTTTGCTATACACTACCGAGATTTTGCTGTGGCCGTCCAGCGAAGTCTCCAGGATATAAAGAAAAAGTCGACGAAGATAATCTGTCAGCTTGATTTGTGCTTCGTCTTCCTGACGGGTTTTCACTTCGGTTTCGTCCCGTAGATTGTTAATGGGTTTGAAGTTCAAACGAGAATCGCACTCATCGGAAACAGCAGCTACTTCATCGTCATCCTCCTCTTCGGCTTCGGCAGTGGCAGCGGCTGCACTGATGATGCTCTGGCTGAACATTCCACGGGGTAATGGTTTGTAGCGTTGTCTTCGGAGCTGGAATTGGGTGTTAATCGGTTGTTGCCCCACCGGGGAGATATTTTCTATACCGGAAACTGTGGCGGATGCCGTTGGAGGGGCCAGGGTTAAAATATTGCTCACTACTCTATGTTTGCCATGGTGCCAACGGGAACGTTAGTCGAAAGAGGATCGGAGTTAGCACATTGACTGCTGATGCCTTTTTCCAATGGGACTGCTGTTACGACTGGAGAAATCGAGGATGATGGGATCGCTGCATTATAGGTGAAATTCCAGATGTTTAGAAGAATATTGGAGAGCTTTTTTGATCAGAGATGATCCTTTCGGAGTGACGACTGTGACTGGTTGCTGAGGAGGAAGAACAACCCTTAAAGCGGGTTGGAAGTGTAGGTTGTTATTGGTTGTAAGCAGGCATCGGCACAGGTTCTTCCATAATATTCCCATTATGAGAAAGGCTCAGGATACACTTGGGATTACTTTATTTACAAATAAAACTGACATCTATTATGAGACGTATACCTATGCTTAAAAAGAGTAAACGGAGTAGGCAGAGAAAATATTGAGTTAAGGTTAACTACCCCATTTCCGGCCTATTAAGCACAACCCGCACTTAGTCTTTCTTATTTTAGCGCAGTTTAGCATCAAACGGAGTGTTATTATTACTGATGGCTTCCAAATTTATTTACTTCTCCGTATGTACCGTAATATTTGATAAAGAGAAACCAATCGTTGGGATATTGTCAAAAGTTCAACACTGCTTCTTGACGTCAAACTCGGCCTACGGATTCTAAACTCGGCTTAACGCATTGAAACGCCAATGAAATCACTTCGGCCTATCGGATGAAGATAAAAATTGATTCGGTCGGAGCGCTTCTTTTGTTTTTGGGAATAATGGGTGCAAATCTTGATATCACACGTTCTCATTGACTTCGTTCCGTAGTTTATTAACTAAAGTATCGTACCAAATGCATAATTTACTTGTTAACTCTGAAATCATGGATTTATTTCTGTTTTCTGCTCGATAGGCCCTAAATGGGCGATTAGGCCGAAGTAGTGCTCTACCCTACTCGCTGCAAAAAAGCAAATAAGAGTAAACCTGTCCCACCCCTTGGCCCCAAGCTAATCGATTCGATTGGCTAGGATAAATCGAGCCCTGGAGCTGCTCTCCTGGTTAATTCTAAGAAAATCTTAAGTTAGTTCAGCTATTGTGAACAGTGCTGTAAATTTTCAAATCATTCGATTGAAGATGAACCACTACAACCATTCAATCAATTCTGTGTAAACGAATTCTCACATGACCATAATTTGAAGAGCCCCTTTCTCATTCGAAGTTCATTGTCACTGTCAATTGAGTCACTCAGTATCATTTGATATACGACAGTGGAGTATGGAAGAAATCCAGGAAAATGGTCCCGAACAGACAAGTCGACCCGATGTCGGATCAATGTAAGGCTAATTTAAGGTCGATGTCGACCCAATGTCGTGTTAATGTCAGGTCAATTTTAAGTTTATGTCGGGTCAATGTCGGGTCAACATCGGGTTGGGGTTTGATAGAAGTCAGGTTGGTGTCGGGTTGGCTTAGCTTTTTCGCCGGAATGTCGACCAGAGCTCCGTTTGTGTGTAGGTTACACTCAATCGAATGATATATAGCGTTTCTCAAATGAGAATGATCCATGCCTTCGTCAAATGACTACACTGCAACTGCCATGTACCCATTAATGGGTAAAAAAGGACCCATTTTTGATGACTATATGAGGCTGTCAAATAATGGGTGAAGTTCAATTTCAAATAATGGGTACTCTTTTACCCATTTCTCAGAGCGCTTCGGGCGAGAATAATGAGTACTTTTTTACTCATTAATGGGTGAAAAGCAACTTAGATAACATCTTCCAGTCCTCGCTTCAGTCGCAAAGTGTCTTAACGATGTCGAATGGAAATTGCTCGTTTGAAAAGTAGGTATTTCTTATTTTATTTCTTTCTGCCCACATCTAAAAATCAATCTGAAACTTGCAGGGACAGAACTAGCCGGATCAGCAAGGAGATCCCAGGAGAGCTTTGCGAGCACCATTTCTTGCACGAACGATGGAAAGACCACTGGATGGAAAATGGTGAAATAAAGATATAAATATAAATAACGTTTTGTATTCTTAACTATTCATTGTGGCTCTTTCAATGATCCATAAATCATACAAATTCTAAAAGAAAAATTCTGGTTTAAGGATTTCAAAATTGGGTACTTTGTACCCATTTTATAAAGCCAATTATTATTTAAAAATGGGTAAAAAAGTACCCCATGATTTGACGTACAAGGTCTTTACCCATTAATGGGTAAAGACGTTTTACCCATTAAATGAGTTTACCTACTTTACTTCGAAATGGGCACTTTTTCACCCATTAATGGGTACTTTCCAGTTACAGTGTAAGCAACTGATATCACCCATTCGGAAGAAGTCCCCTTTGATAGCGAATAGCTACTTTTCTCATTTTCATCAGAAATGTTCAAATGATTTTGAGAATTTACAGCACTGATTGTGAATAGAATTTTAGGGAAGTCGAATGCTAAGGTTCTTTCCAAGGCAATGCAAGTCAATTATTTTTTAATCAATTCAATGAAGAAAACTGACACGGAATTCTAAGAAGAGGGAAAACTGAGACACATTTTTAGCGTATTCGAATTTTTTTTTCGAATTAAATTTCATTAGACTAGCGTGGAGGATTTCAAAACTCTTTTTGAAGGAAACATTTTGGGAGACTACTCAGGGAATGCTGAGTAGAATTCCAAGATATCGCTGACAACATTCCAAGAGAGCTCTGAGGCAAACCAAGGTAGATCTGAGGAATATTTCACGCAAAGTTTACGACACTAATTTAAGCGAGAACTTGCGAAAGTTATGAAGCAAGAATTCCAACATTTTACTGGAGTGCATTCCTACAATAGTAGGTAGTCTACAGAGAATTCTTAAACTGTTATGATTATGAAGAGGCTTATGTAAGTTTCAACGTTTATTTCGTTTCCTTTTCCCAAAGACCTGTAGATCAGCAATAGCTCTATATAATAGTTGCACTGCATCAGTGGAATGATGCAGTGGGCGTAGATCACTCGAACATTTGAAAGTGCGTAAGTTTATTCTCGGTCCTCACTCGTACCCACTGGAACCATAAAAGCTTCGGTTTATAGCACTGACGACCGTTCGAGTAGTTCGATCGATGGTTGTTAATTACACTTGTTTCATTGCGGCACATATTTACTGTCGAAAATCATGCATTTTATTAACTCAAGAATCTTCTAATTAGTTCATTCATCACGTTATAATTATACCTATTCCCGCAGATGCCAACCAAGCGGCCGTGTCACTTTTGACAGCCGCCCCCGTTTGACAGCCACCACCACAAGCCACAACAAGCACACACAGAGCGCTCGAATCGAGCAGCCATCATGCACGAGTGCGAAGACGACGACGGCGATGGCAGCGCCGCCGTTGAGGAATGTCGCAAGCTCATTCTAATGTGCCAAGAGAAAAGTGGATGTCGGACAGTGTTTTGTACCGGAGTGATTTCCGTCGAAAATCTCCATTCTAATCGAGTGTAAGTGGCGGAAAAGTGTCGCAAAAGTTGGGGGAAATGGTTGCGTACCCGGTGCGGTTGGAGTTTGGCCGGTTGCCATTGCGGAAGTGGCAAAAATTCCGACTTGAAGTGGCGACGAGGATTTTTTTTTTTCCGCGATGGGATCGGGGCTTGTGGATCGATTTGAAGTGGAATTTGCAGTGTTTGGAAATTGTTTTGGAGGTGCAGTGCAGTGGGATTAGTGGGTTTCGATGGATGGGAAAGTATTTTTCAAGGTGCTCTTGAAGAATATGCGTTGCTGAAAATGTCAATGAGAATCGCAAATCGCACATTCCATTCATAGTATTTTTTCCTCTTCTCATAAATATCGTCGTTCGGTTGTGGTGCAGCACACGCACACTACGGAGCATGGAGCGCGTTCCAATTCGGGGGAGCTGGTTCGCGCACACACATACATGCACGGGGGGCGCGCAACTGGTTGCGGGCGCCGTTAAACGGCGCGGCGGGTGCGATTTCGTTTCCATCGTCTGACGGCGAGGACGAGACGAGAGAGGTTGTGGAATGCCGTACGCTGGATTGGATTTTTTTTGCGCTGAAGGACAGCGATAAACGGTGGCAGCACGACGCGGAGGAAGGGGGTTGAAGAATCTACAAATTGTCATGCAAATAGCAGACTGCGGAGGTAATTGCAGAAATCGAGCAATTGCTTGCGCTCAAGGTGGATCGGAGTCAAGGAAGCGAGAGAGGTGGAAGAACGGTGGCGACCGGAGAAACGGTGAACGAAGGAATGCGGAGCGAAGAAGGTGCAAGAAGACGAAGAACAGCCGTCGCATTCCACGTATTCTTTCGTTATTACAATCTATCCACATTCCTTCTGGTACGGGGAACGACGACGACGGGGTAAACTAAGTAGCATTGCACACCTATACCAGAAGGGGTTATTGATGTGTGTTAGTTCACGTGCAAGCGTAAAGAGAAAGAAAATAAACAACCCTTTTGCACAGAAAGGAGAAGCGAAGCCGCGGAGCAAATGGAATGCAGTGTAGGATGTGGATTGGCGTGTGTAGCAGCTTGTAAGGCCCCGGTTGCGTGCACAGTGAAAGTACCTATATATGTAATTCAAGCCTCGTGCGGACTCAGAATATGGTGGAGTACGGATCCCTGTTGACATTTGGCGAAGATTTTCGAGCTGAATCGATTGAAGTTAAAATTAGCGGCCGCCGTCAATCGATTTAATTGAGAAGGTGATTGCCAATCGAAAAGGTGATGAAGAACGGAATGAGTGAATGAGTGAGCGAATGAGCGGAGCAGTGGCATTATGCAATATGTATTTCGCAGTCAGGTTGAATGGAATTCGACGAGGTCATGATTGATGTCGGTAGACAAGCGAGGCGCTCGCCGGTGAGGTGGTTTGTGTTTTTTTTTTTGCAACCGTGTTCAACAGGTTCTGATAGAATGGCGCCTCAACGGTGAATGCGAGGGTGCGAGCGATAGAAGAGAGAAAGACGATAGCGCTCCCAGTGGAATGTCGACGAAGGAATGTCGTACATTGCTGATTAACATATTATCATCGGAAGGGAACCGGGTGGAAATGTTGATGAACCGTTGGACCTGGCGGAGAGTGCATTCTTGGGATGTTTTCTGACGCGACAACAGTCGAGACTTGGTGGAGGTGATTGGTCGCTGTCATGTAGGTGTTTGAACTGGACAAAGAAGGATTAGTCAGAGCCGGAGCGTGAAGAGCCTCGTATGATAGTGCGATGAGTCACTGGCCGTTGTTTCGGTGCTGAATGGATAAAGCAGGAAGATGTTGACGGGGATGCACGGTGACTGTTGAATTGGAAACGAGGAATACGTGCCGAGATGTTCAAGAACGGATTTGATAATGAAAGCTTTGTAACATCGGATGTAGCAGTGGACTATTGGAGTAGCATGCAATAACAGAGTTACTCAAACGAGTAAAAACGATCACGATTGGTGTTCTAGAAAGAATAGGAAATCTTCCTTGGACAAGCTGTTTACGCCATAACCGGCATTTTATCGTCAGTGTAGGGCCTCTCTTAGCTCAGTCGGTAAAGGCGCAGCTACAAAGCAAGACCATGCTGGAGGTGACTAGGTTCGATTCCCGGTCTGGTCTAGGAATTTTTCAGGTTGGAAAGTTTCTCGACTTCCTTGGACATAGGGTATAATTGTACCTCTGCCACACAATTATACTAATGCAAAAATGGTACAGGCATCGAAAGCTCTCAATTAATAACTGTGGAAGTGCATCTAGAACACTAAGCTGAGAGCACGCAATAAGCTAATATGCGATATGCAATAAGCTTGAAATGCGAAGAAGAAGAAGAAGTAAGCACAGCAGAATAATTCGAGCAGTTCAGAGCTTCCGAATAAGCTCCTTATGTTAAGAAGTATTCTCCAAGAAGTCTCCAATCAATAAGCATTAGTGTTAAGTATTTCGTGTAGTAACCGTCCTAAAATCGACAATCGACGAAAATTTCTTCAACCGTTTCTGTATTCTTTCCAGTACCCAACTAGCTAACTAACCAAATATAAAGTTTGGAAGCACTATATTAATTTTATAGTGCAAACAAGGCAATTAAGCGGGCGATTAGTGTGCTTGGTGGTTACTTGGGTAACCCAACATGCTTATCACGGTTACACTGAACGAAAACATCCGCAATACTTCGAATGATTATTGCATTGCTTGAGCCCTTTAACAAAATGCTTTCGAATTTCGCATGATTGCTTTATGGTTGATTTCGTCATCAGCTGTTTATTTGAAAATTTGCTGTAAACCGTACAGCGCTCAGAGGACAACAATTTTAAGAATAAGATGACTTGCAAATGCTTTAAATTAGATTTATAATTCGATTGTTGGTAGAGAAAACTTCCTTCACCACGTAATAGACAATCTTCGGTTTACCAATGTTCGTACCATCTCTGCTAGCGATGACTGTGTTTCCACCTTGTTTATCAGCTCAGATCATCAAATGACGTTCGATAGAATAATCGACATCATCGTTTTGGATGATTTGCGTTATGGGGATGACAATCATTCTACAGAGAGCATTACGTATTTCAACTGAAATCCGTGCGCTTCTCGTGCCAATGTTCATCCTGTATTCGAGAGGAGCATCATCTGATTACAAAACAACGGTCATCCGGATGCAGCTATCATTCGAAAAAGCGATTTAGATGTTTCGATTTCAATGTTCTGAGGTTTCATTCGAACAGAGGATGATGCTTTGGTACAGTGTAAAGGATTAAAATGTATACACTGAACGAATACATCCGCAACACTTCGAATGATTATTGCATTGGTCGAGCTCTTTAATAATATGCTTTCGAATTTCGGATGATTGCCTTATGGTTGAATTTGTCATCAACTGATGAGTACGACTGTCATCCAAATAAAGGATGATATTTATTTCAAAATTGGCTTGTAAACTAATAATCTAATGGGTGCACAGCTTGAGAAGTTTGAAGAAGCCATCCCGAGTAGCAGAATTCCACTGTGAAAAGTTATTTGTTTCTAAAATATATAAATAATGATAGTAAATAAAGCTCCACAACCCTTTTATATCAAGTAAACTACTGGTGATATCTAAATAATCCGTCCTGGTGAAACGCAACCATCTCCCCTGACAAAAATGTGTTCAAAGTTTACTCAAATACCAATATTCACAATTCTAACATTCCTTCCTTTTAATTTCAGATGGAAACATAGCTTTCGATTGGAACACACCATTAGAAGGTTCAATGAACCCTAACTAGCCGCAACCAGGAATCAAGTGAATAGATCAAGAGACAACTACCTCTGATCAACAAATCAAGTGAATTCTATCGTGTTCAAAGACAATTTTCATAAAACGAATCGATTAATCGCGAACCCTCACAATACAACAAGACTAACTTTTTTTTTTTTAAACCAATAACGAATGTGAAACGCAAATCAAGCAAGTATTAAAAACGATCAAAACAACGTGCCTTATCATATCAAAACCATAGAGCTACACAAAACCAAGTGAATGCCCATAGCGAGTCCGCACCACCCCCGCCATCGTCATCATGTCCCATTCGCACGGTCTCGCTCGGTACTCGCAGTACTCATCCTCCGGAGGGGCGGGTCCCCAAACGAGCAGCGGTGGCAGCAAATCCGGAGCGTCATCGTCCAGCACTAGCTCCGGTAGATCATCGGTGGTGGCCACGGCACAACCTCCCGGGGGACAACCGCAGATTCCTCCACCACCTGCGGTACGACCGCCGATGCTGGTGACTTCGTCCGGTTGTTCGATGCTTCCACCAAGTCCTCCACTGCCGCAGCAATCCGGTGCGGGCACCAACGGCCCTCAACAGGCTCAGCAGCAGTGTCAAACGACGCAAACCTCGGTACCGTCGAGTCCCAAGTACTCCGCCATGAGTAGCAGTCTGTCCGGGTCGGATACAGACGTGTCAACCTCGACGGAGAATCTCACCCGTGAGGAACGCTACGTGCTGCGTCATGCCCGCGTTGAACCGCAGGGCGAAGAGAACATGCAGGGCAGCGTGACACCGGTCAATGAAATTCAAGGCCGCTACATTCCCGACAAGTTCTCCGCGAACACCTCGTCGGACTCGACGCGCTACGCCACGCCAAACAGCAACCGCAGCATATCGGAAAGTCGCAACGCCATGCATACGTATGCCAATACTGGGAACGACGGCTCCAATCGGAACTCCCTCATCAGTACTAGCTCAAATCGGAACTCTCTGAAGGAAACCAACTCCAACCGTTCATCGATGGACGTCTCGCAGTCGTCGTACAACACCCTGATCATCCATGACGAAGGCATTTACTCGATGAACCGGGAATACTCCAGTCCTCCGCCCTACATGAAGAAGGACCGTCCAAGATCGTACGGTGAATCGCAGCCTCCCATTCAGGAGCTGTCGGAAATTCCGGAAAAGTACCTCAGCCAGAGTCACGTTCTGAAGCACCTCGCCAAGGAAGTGAAACTACCAACACGGAACCGTAGCGATTCGAACACCCGCGATTCGGGCGTATCGGAGAACACGGACTCCAGGGAACATCCACCAAAGTACGGTCAGCACTGGGTCGGTGGACAGAATGCATCCACAGACGAATCAGCTGCTGCCCAAGCGAACGCCAAACTGAAGAGCAAAAGTCAACCCGATCTGACTCGACTGCTGGACATCGATCCGGAGGAGGTGGAAGCTCTGTACAAGGAGAATCAGCTGTTGAAGCAGCAGTTGAGCAACTGCTTCCTGAAGGTGGCCAAGAGCCAGAAGCTGGAACAGGAAATCTCCAACATCTACCGGGTGCACGAAGAGTTGGTGCAATCGTGCGAGCGGCGAGAACGGTTGGAGAAGGCCGCCCGCAACCGTCTGCAGCAGGACTGCCGCCGACTTCAGGAGCTGAACCGGGCCTTCCGGGATCAGGTCGAAGTGCTGCAGAATCAGTTGCTCTCTTCGTCGGACCATCAGCTGGGCCGAACGCAGCAGGACGTGCTGATCTCGCAACTGGTGACGCAAAGTGAGTTAACGATATGGGGTTCGATTGAGGGTAGTTGACTGAATTTGTTTTGTTTTCGCAGATAAATCACTAGTGGACGCCAACCGGCGCCAATGCATTGAGCTGCAGGCCCAAAATGCCACCCTGGAAGAGCAACGGATTCACATCAACGTGCTCGATACAGCTCTTAAACGGCTGGAAGAAGAAGTATGTCCTCTGGGATATGTCGGGTTCGAATGGCATCTAAGTTCTGAATTTATTTACAGTGCCGTCAGAAGCAGGTCTATGTGGAACGCTGCGCTCAGCTGCAGCACGCTCTTCAATCGCTGCAGAACGCCAGCGAACGACGGGAACAGGCCGAACGGAAGCTTCGCATGGACTACGAGAATGATCTACCGAACAGAAGCGGTAGCAGTACCAACAGCGAAGCCGACAACCTCAAGTGGCAGCTGCGGGAGAAGGATGCTCAGATTATGAGGTTAGTAATTCTTCGGAGCTTCTCTGAACGAGCTTAGACTAATCTAATTGTTTCGCCTTAGACTCGAAGCCGAATGTGCCAAACTGGAGCAGCGCAACCTTGAGGAATCGAACGTACGCAACGTTGCCAAGCTGGCGATGGAGCGTAATTCGCAGGAAACGGAACGAATTATTGCCGAGGCAAAGCAGGAGAAGATCCGCTACCTGGACGAGGCACACGGAGCGAATCGCAAGGTGACGGAACTGCAGACCCGGCTCAAGTTGGTTGAGAACCGATTGGCCGAGAAAGAGGCCATGATCCGGGCGTACCAGGGACAGAAAAGTAAGACCGAAGGTTCTGAGTAAAGACACTAGCATGTACAAAGAGACTGGAATTCCAATTTAGTTGTCAGTGTCATTCTAATCAAGCACGAGACCTGCCAAACAGAAAAAAAAAAATGTTACTGTTATTGGTGGTGTTTGAAGAAGTATCGCTATCTGCTTTATCAAGCTCTTCATGCGGTGCAATCTCTAAAAACCAAGCACAATGAAAAGATAAATTCGTTTGATTTAAATTGATTATCTCTAAATCGAATCACCGAAGAAAACAACACTGTATAATTTTTCTCGAATAACAACAAACGTGACCAAATCGAAAATCTAGCGTAGTTTTGTTTTCACAGCGATCAGATGGCGACTCTTTGTATATTCTAGTCTCTTTAGTTCTGAGTTTACCGTGAATCATATTTCTTAAAAACTTCGTTTTACTTCTGATTCCAGTCTATGGTTCAACAAACTCCTACGGATCGTACAACCTATCGAACGATAGCTTCGCATTGAATCCACTGGGAGCGTATAACTCACAGGTATCGTACGACGTGTCGAACAACACGTTCGACATGGCCACTACTGCCTCGTTGCTGGATCCGTCTGGTTACGGTCCGAACGTGTCGTCCAGCTTCACCTCGAACTATGGACAGACGAATCCGAGCTTCAACAAGAGCTCGATCAACCTGCAGACAGCCGGTGGCAATAGCTACAGCTCACCAAGCAGCAGCTCCAACTACAGTACCAACTACGGTGCCAGCGAGCACACGACCATCTACGACTCGAAGAACTTCGACGCCCAGCGTAAATCCATCGACGATCAACTCAAGCAGCTGGACGAACAGCTGCTCAGCAAGGTGAGTGAACTGTCGATGGCTGAGAAGCAAAGTAACCTGCTGCTCAAGGCGCGGGCTGCGGCAATGGCAGCCGCCAAGGGTAGCACCAGTTCCGTTGCTGCTTCGTCGCGAGCTTCCGCCAGCGGAGCCACCTCCAGCTCAAGCTCGGTGGACTCCAACGGTAACCTACTAACCGGCCACAGTGTGCTTGCTAACAGTGCCTCTAATCATCCCGCCAAGGTAAGCACCGGCGACAAAAAGCACATGTCGAAAACTAGCTCGACACCGGCGATCAATGCGACGTCCAGTGCGGCGCCGAGCGTTCCCAAGCTGCCCAAGAAAGGAACCTCCGTAAGTAGCGCTAAGAAGCTAGCTGCCTCCTCGTGTAAGAACATTTCCTCGCCGTCTTCGTCGTCGGAGCAGGAAACGTTCTACTAGGTTCGGTCAAGTCTCGTTTCCTTTTGTTTTGTTTTTTCTTTCTCGAAGGACAGGCAGTGTTGCCAGCGCTGGTTGATGATGGTGGTGAATTGGAAAAACTTGCCTTTGTTTGCTGTAAATTGTGTTAGGTCAATTGGTGCAATTGTTGAATTGAACATATTTCACGAAATTGAGAATAGCAACGATCCAAGTTCAAAAGGATCTCATTCGAATGGATGATTTAGATCTGTTTCGTCAATAATTGATACATTCGTCTATGATCTTCAATTGAGAAACGATTGATATCATCTAATTCAGTGCAACTTTTATATAATTCGGTAAGTCCATAGCTGAACTCAATTCCAAGAGTAAAATCTATGTCTTAGGAAGGTTTTTGACTTCCTACGAAACAATTGTTTTAAAATCCATCGTAATAGAATTCTCTGACTTTGATTGAACAAATCGAGTCAACTGTACTAGCGATGATTCTTCGTAACATTCCATTTGGACGTCATTTGACGTACTAAGGCTGTGTTCCATTTGGAAAATTTTCACTTAGATTTGACACTTCGAAAATAAATTAAGATGTTCGAAAATCCCTCTGTTGTTGATCGGCCGATTTTCGAGAAAGCGTCTGTCAAAATTTATTCCTTGTCTGTCAGAAATAAGTCTGCTGGAATAGCAGGTTTATTTGAAAATTTTCCATCTGTCAAATTTAAGTAAAAATTCACCAAATGGAACACAGCCTAAGAAGGCTTTGTTTATAGTTCAAATTTTAGCTTACTAGATTGTTTTTAGCATATAAAATTAAACTGAGTTATTTCAGATAAATGAGCTGGATTACCGAGGTGAAGCAATTGGTTAAGTTGTGTGAGTAAAACCCCTGTACGATACAAGCAATTAGTGACGTCACTACTTGCGTTTACGTTGATTTTTTTGTTTACTAATACAACAATATTTCACGATCTGCTTTACCTCTCTTTGTACCACATTGATTTCAAATAATGATGGCGCTTAACCTTCTTCGACTACATAATTTGAACATTTTTGATTGGATTAATATTCGTTTTCAAATGTTTGACAGTACTGTCAATGTTGCCAGATTGACGATGCATTTTACCTAAACTTACTTATGACCATTGAAAGCAGTTATTCAGCTAAAATCATTAGTTTTTGCACTATCATCGATCTACTGGGATTCCTCAGAATTACTAAAGTAAACCATCAACCACTCTGACAACACTGGTCGCTCCTGCGCTGTTCCTTTCACCCTGTCCATCCCTATTAACCTATCTGTGACAGTACCGGAACTGTGTACGAATACACTCTTTCTAAAGATACAAAAATTACGGCAATCTGAGAGACTGATAGTGACTATTGTGTAGAGAGAAAAAAAATGCTTGTTTTTACAGACAAAACACAACAAACAAACAAAATCTACTGAAGATCTGATTTGCAATCTAAACAACAGAACACCGAAATAAACACAAAAATGTCGAATCCTCCTTCATATCTTTTCCGTCTAGGGACTTGTTCACGTGTAGCTAAAACGAGAGTCAATTACGTGTTTGTGTAAGCTAGGAATTACTAACAAACTATCGATAAAGTGAAAAGAAATTAAAAACCAAAGACCAAAGATTAAATAAGACTCTTGCCTGCGTGGCCAAGGAACACACAAACACCGAAAAATACAGAAACGCACACACGCACACATACACGCACAAGGTCTGACTCGCTTGCGCTTTCCTTATATGTATATGTACTATTAATGCAAACAACTTTGTGAGACGTGTCTGTGTGTGTGCCACTAACCTTCTTCAACTCCTTTTTTAAGACAGTTTATTTTTGCGTGTGTAAATCAGATTCCCGCTGAACAGTGAAAAAACGCTGTCAAACGAAAAAGAATATACAAAATAGTCCCATTGTTTCTCCCCTTTCCGCACTCTAATAGCATCGAAAATAAAAATAAAAAACTTCGCTATTTGTTAGGTTAAGCAAAACTAATTTATTTGTATAAACTGAACGAGTCTACACGAAAAAGCTAAAACGGGATAGAAAAGTAAGTAGCTGAACTCCCCCGAGTTGCCTTGGAAACCGAAATAACAGACTGCAACCAATGTGCCTTGATTCGGGAAAAATACTAAAAAACAAACAATGAATGCATGATTCATCCAAAATCAGTATATCACTAACCTAATCCAGGCTGAAACTGACAAACGAAGAAGCAAATCTAACACCGTTTTCCACCCTGTCTTGTTAAGCTTAGATAGATAGAGACATAGAACAAAGCAGCCTATTTTAGCTAGAGTTGTACGATAAGTCCACACCTATATATTTTATATTAACTTAATATACACAAAGATCAAGAGAGAGAGAGAAAATGCAAACTATTTTCTGACAGCATCAATAAATATTGTTGAAATGAATAAAACTGATTGTGTGTGTTTTGTTTTTACCTTATTTTTTTTCCTTGTTCATTAATACGGTTTTACATTCCTTGCGCCTCGTTTTTCGCTAAAGACCCCCTGCGTTTGAGTTTTAAGTTTTTGGCTGATTTTTGTGTGCGTTTTATTCCATCCATTCCCGTTGTCCTTGGCTTGCGAGTTGATTTTTGAAAGAAAAAGATTGGCTCCCGTTGGATGGTCGCAAACAAAGCGCTCTCTGTGTAGAGAGAAGGTGACATTTGTAAATGTGCTTCTGCAATGCGATCTCGTTGCGTGTGTTATAACAGCGAATGTTGTGCAGCTTAATGGCTTTCCTTAGTTACTAAAATTTGGTCAATCAATTGTTACGAGCTTTAATTCAAACAGTTTTTTTATGGACATTGCAGTCTTAAGTGGTGATGTTCTCAGGAATTCCATTAGCATTAAGGGGGTATTCCCAATCTTTTGCCTTTTTTCGGCCTGTTTTTCAATTAATTTTTTTTTCAAGGAAAATGAATAGTAATGCGCCTAACTCTTTGGGATTCTTGTTTATTGAACATTAAAGTTTACGAATAAATTTATTTCGACATAAAAAAAGACATTATTGACGTCACAAAATGGCGGCAAACAGACCCCTGTTCGCCGCAAACGCCTGGACGGGCGAAGACTTTTCTCTGGAACGGCTTCATCTGAAACAGATTTCGTGATGACATTAATAATCTGCATAAGATTCTCTGGAGCTTCTCCCGTTGGCAGCAAAAAATCTTGCAAATTAACAAAATGGCGGCCATATGAAAAAACAGGCGATTTTTAGCCCGCTTTTTTGCAGCTTTAAGGTGCTTCAAACAATGTTAAATGTTAATATTTTTGGCTGAAAGTGGGAGAAGCTCCAAAGAATTTAATAAGGAACAAAATGCGCAAAGATTCAAGTCAATATCTCTTATAGTTTCTGAGAAAAATCTTCGCCCGATAAAAAAATGTGGTTTCGAGAAAAACACGTTTAAAGTTTTGACTTTAGTTAAAACCATTTGGGGGTTCTTACCATTAGTCAGCTATGGACACCGAATTTGCTGATCGGAAAACGGCTTGGGGGGATGAAAGTATATAGTCTAAAGTACAAAAAAACGTGAAAAAAAAAAATTTGATTTTTTGAAAAAAAAGATCGGGAATACCCCCTTAAGGTGGTTCAAAATAGGGGTTTTGCTCCACTCAGCTCAATCGATTCTAACTTTCCCAAAAAGTTACCTCATTTGGTTGTGAACTCAAACTGCACTGGTCAGTTTTATCTGCGCATTACTATGGAAATAGTGAGCTTTAAAGACTGGAACGCGCAAAAATTGGTCGACAAAAAATCGTTTCTTTCAGTCAAAAATCTTCTAATTTTTCTTTTGTTAGTTCAATTTATATATTTAAAGGAAAAAATGTTCGTTTATGTTTTTTTTTGGTTTGCCAAATCCAAACTGCCGTGCCTTCCGCTTAACCCCTTCAATTCAATTTTGCACAGTGGTCTCATCGACCTTATTCGCCGCCGAACGCCAGTTAGATTTAAACTGCTGCTCGTTTTCCATGGATTTTTTTAGTTTTTTTGAGATTCCGTTTGACCAAGGCCCAATACCGTTCGATAGGGTGGAGTTCTGGGCTGTTGGGAGGGTTGTGGTCTTTGGGTACCACAACCACGTTGTTCGCATCGTACCACTCGATTGCCTTTTTCCCATAGTGGCAGCTCGCCAAGTCCGGCCAGAACAGCACAGGTCTATTATGTTGCTTTAGGAATGGTAGCAGCCGCTTTTCCAGCCACTCCTGGACGTAGATCTCTTGATTGATGGTTCCCGTACTAATGAAAATGCCGCTTTTTAGACCACACGTGCATATGGCCTGCCAGACGAAATATTTTTTCGGGAACTTCGATAGTTTGATGGTTTTGAAAATTTCCGCCACCTTCCCTTTTTCTGATGCGGTATAAAACTCCTGTCCCGGAAGCTGCTTGAAATGACGACACAGTCGAACACAGCTTTCGGGACCGCTGCTTTGCCTACGTGTTTTGTTTGTAATCTCGGTTCGCCACCTTCACCTTCTTAAACGTCGACAACCTGGCTCGTTTCTTCGCCCGCTGCACAGTAGTATGGAACACATTGAGCTTGCCAGCGACGTACCGGATGGAGAGGTTAGGATTCCGCTTATATTTCACCGCCACCTTCTTCGTCGTCACTGCCATGTCCGCATTGCGATTGCCGCCGCTTCCAGGCTTCCTGACGGTCGACAGACGCTCCCCGAACACTTTTAAAACGTTTGTCACGGTCGATTTGGCCACATCCAGCAATTTTGCCAACTTGGCGTGTGAGAACGTTGGATTCTCTTGCTGCGCGAGCAAAATTTTGACACGCTGCTCCTTTTGCTTGGATGTCATTATGAAAACTGGAGAGCAAACGGCAGGAATGCCAGATGATTTTTTCAAAAGTATGTATGAGTATCAAAAACTATGTCTGTATTTGTCTGTATTCTAGAAAAATCACTGCATTGCAGATTTCGTATTTCTCACATGTATTTTGGCTATACAATTACTCGCCACACACTAAACTAAACAAATAAGCATTTTCAAGCTTAATAAAGTGCGTTTTTGTGGTTTTTAATTTTTTTATTCTTAGTACAAAAAATACGAAGTCAAAACTTAAAAGGCATTGCTGTTTAAAATAACGAGATAAAAAAATAAAAATCCCGTTCATGGTCCATGTACCGAATTATCGGAATTAAATGACAACGTAAAAAAAGAAAAAAGGCATGTGGGTAAGGCTATAAAAAGGGAAAATCTATTATTTCAAATAAAAATAAATGAGAAATGATCAGAACTTACCGAACAGATTTTTTATTTAGTCTTATCATACATGTAGCTTGAAAATAGTCGAAAAGCTGTTTTTTTTTATGATTTCGGTGATTCCTTTTTCTATTTTGATGGCTTTTCCATATTCCTTGGACGCTAAGATTCCCTGCATCATAGCTGCATCCATCCTGTTACGCAGTTTAGTTTTGTTTAGAATGATCGACGAAAACATCCTTTCAACTGCCGCTGAGTAGTATGGCAATGCAAGTAGTAGTTGGCACTATTCGTCTGATATAAGGAAAAGCGATTTCGCCATTCACCCGTTTGGTGGCCAGTACCACTCCCCAAAATTCAACACCATCATCATAATTAGTATCCATTGGCAAATCCATGTTTCTGACCTCGCGGAATTCGTCGTCTACCATTTGCATTTCGAATTCGTTGATAACATTTGGGAACATCCGCAAAACTGGGTGTGAGGGGTGTGTTTTATTTTTGAGATTTTTCGGGTCAATGCCCCGCCTCAAAAACCTGGCAATGGTTTACGAGAATCATATTTTCCATATTGATACGTTTCCCGATTTACAAGCATTATGTAGAAGTTCATCGCCATTGTTCTGAAGTGATCAACATCCTCAAGCTTGATGCTATTGGATGACTAAACATCATCCAAATGTTTTTGTACGCCAGTACCCATATAAACCTTTTCCACAGTAGTTTCTGGGTTGCAAAATTAACGAACCCAGGTCTTCAAGCTTCGCAATGTAGTCTGGTCTCATGAAATTATCGAGGATTTCCTTGAGCAAACGAACTAGCTCAGAATTGAGTCGACATATTTAAGGCGCTTCCGATTGGAACAAGCGGTTAAGTTTGTTAGCTTTTGGTAGAACAAATTCCAAAAACCTCAAGCAAAGCTCCATCATGGGGCTCTCCAAGATACCGCTGATTTCTTTCACCTTCTCGGCATCAAGTCCACATTCGAATTAGTATAATTTAAGAATACTCTGAGAGCTGGAAATCTTTTTAGCATCCGTTTCACCACCTCTCTAATGACAACCAGCGTGTGGCAGCCTGGTGGAGCATTTTCAATGGTTTCAAGTCCATAATTGCTTAAAGCTGTTCAAATTTCGAAAATAATTTTGTTTATTTTATGTTAAATTTCAGGAACCAATTGGTAAAAATCTGTACAAAATCTGTATTAAGTTTCAAATATCTGTATAATGTCTGTAGTCTGTATTGGGTATGTACGAAACTTCAAATCAGTGTCAACATTTTAAAGGGGCGTAATTGCTTTTGTAAACAATGGCTTTAACCGTCGATTACGGTTGACTTTGCTACAGGTTCTAATACGAAATTTCATCAGCCACAACCTTGCTGAAGACAAGGGGTATTCAACTCTGTGTACTCCAATCTGCGCCAAAAGATTTAGCTGTGCCGAAAACTGTACCGAAGTAGGCCGAAGTTTACCCATCAAGGTGTCAATATCCCATGAGTTTGGAAACCCTGAAGTTCTAATGACTTTTGTGATTGTGTTTACATTTTCAATTTCTGTATGTTCAAAAATCCCTGTGCTGTCGATCGACCGGTTTTCGAGAGGAAGTGAGCCACGGTTGTAAAAATTTAACTTCTTGTCTGTCAGAAATAACCACGCTCGGATAGCAGGGTTAATCGATAACTTTCCATCTGTCAAATTTTAACCAAAAGTTAGAATAATCCACCAAATGGTTCACAGCCTAAGGCTCTGAACCATTTGGTGGATTATTTTAACTTTTGGTTAAAATTTAACAGATGGAAAGTTATCGATGAACCCTGCTATCCTAGCATGGTTATTTCTGACAGACAAGAAGTTAAATTTCGACCACGGTGGGTCGAAAACCGGTCGATCGACTGCACGGGGATTTTCGAACATAGAAAATAACTTTCGAAATGTCACTTTTAACCACGAGTTAATTTTAACTCGGCAAATGGTTCACAGCCTAAGTAGAAGTATGGACATCTGTCAAAAGCTGTCCCAATCAAACCGTCGAATTGCACTGTTTTGTTCGATTGGAACAACTTATTCAGTTTTGTGGTGACAGTCGTTCATACTTTTACTAGAGTGCTTTAATTTGAATGTGAGGGGAGTGGGAAGTGGAAGAGAAACTGGATGCCATCCAACCTATACGGTGTTCAAGCGAATTCAACCCGTTA